ATATTTTTCAAATACAAATCTATAATTAATAAACCTGTCTCTTATACACATCTATAAACAAAAAAAAAAAAAAAAAAATAAAATAAAAAGTGAGATAATAATAGTCATAAGTTTTTTTTAAAAAGATAAATTTAAAATTAAATGAAAAAAACTGTGCCCTAAACAAAATAATTAAATAAATAATAACAATAAAAAATATATATGTATTTCTTGATATTTTATAGTGTCGTCATATGTTATATTATATATAGCAAATAATTAAAAAAAATTGGAGCAACAGTTACTGTACCTTTCATTATCCATAGGACCAAAAAAATATATAGCAAATAATCTAAAAATTGCTCGTGAAATTTTTTAGGTTAATTTTCACAGGGCATATTTTGCGGCAAGTTGTCTGACATTACACTACGAGTGTGGCCTTATTCACATAAAAAAAAAATATTTAAATATTTATTTATACATACATCATATAATAACAGTTGAACAATGCTTAGCAAAAAAATGGCAAGATTCATTGAGATTTGACAAAATAAGTATAAATTTAAAATTGTTCAAAGCAAATACGTTGAATACACTTGCACTGCAGCGAAATGTCATTTAAAAGCCAATGACAAAAATTAAGTGAAACGAATAGCAAAATTACAAAAATATTTACATAGAATGCTTGCAAGCCTACATTTCATATTAATTAACAAATAATAAATGGGAGCCTTAAAATTCCTGAGCGATCAGCAGAACTGATAAAATATTTATATACATATATGATATTTTATGTATATGCTTGTGTTTTAAACCTAATATTTTGTAAAATAAAATTATAAAATTTAAGTAAAATTAAATGTAGTTTACTGTAGTTAGAACTTATTCGAAATATGTACGAGAGAACAAAAGTTTAGCAACGCTTTGAAACCGCTTATGCAAGTTTTAATTCAATCGTGTTTAAATATGCATGAATATTTTTTTAATTTGCAGTTATTTTTTGCGTTCTTTTTTTAAATCTCCATTTTTGAGGTTTTGAGGTATCAAAAAATGTTTGGTGGCTGTAAAACTTTGATATAAAATTTGAGGTCATACCCAAACTTCAAAATGTCTGATATGTATACATATCAGCGGCACCAAATCATTACTTATAACTAAGCATAAATTAGAAAATTTCCGTGAAATTACTTTAAAGCGCAGTTTGTGATAATGTTTACAGTATTGTTTTTAGACTTTTTGTAAACTGTAAAATAATTACCAAATTTAATATACTTTTAGCAATTGCTGTGCGCAGTCCTAAACAAAATTTAACAGTTATGCCGTGCTTTTCAGCAGTTGCAGCAAGTGTTTACAGTGAAACCTCGATATGGCGAACTTATTTTAAGAATGTTTTTAATATTTTAAGATAATATATACGTGTTTTTAAAGCATTACATTGTGTTTTTCTTTTTTTAATTTTTATAAAAAAGTAATTAAAAAGCGAATGTAAAAAAATAAAAATTAATTAAAAATAATATTACCATAAAAACAAAAACCTACAACCCTTTAAAGCCTTTTTCCGAAATTCTTCCTAATAACGTATTTTTCCCCATCAGAAGTTTAACGTTAAATTTTAAAATATCAAGCTATTAAAAATTAATTTAAAAATAACCGAAAATTAATTAAGAATAATTTTCAAAGTGATTTTATGTTTATCTATTAATTATCTAATTAATAACTATATTTTATATTCAATCATTTTTATTAGCTCTCTATATTTACGAATTGTTTTAAAATTTCTGTAATTTATTTTTCTATTTATATTTATTGTTTATTTATTAATTATTAAATATTATTCATATTCTCATTATAAATTAAAATAAGCCAAATAAATGGTAATTGTAAATTTATTATGTGAATTTTTTAATAAATTATTATTTTTATTTCCTTTATTTTTTTTAATAATTTTTGAAAATAATTCAAATATAGTAAAAACTTAATTTCAAAAATTAAAACTTATTTTAATTTAAATAAAATTAAAAAAAAAAAAACGAAAATATATTTTTTCATAATTTGATAGCTTAGATATTAGAAAACATCTCTCTAAAAGGACTTTTCAAAGTTCCATTTATTTCCGAACTTATAGCCCTTTTTGTTTCGTGGTAACTAAACCGGTTAGAGCTGTGGACTAAATTTAAAACGCGTTTTACTCGAAACCACTTTTTTGTAGCGGTGTTTATTCCTGATTCTTTAAATATTTCATCTACTATGTAATATTGAATTTTTTTTAATTGTTAGTTTTATTTCAAAGCATTCATTATATCGAGTTTTCACTGTACTTACTTGGTATGCGCGTGAATTACTTGCACTTACGAACTTGTGCCACACTAATAAGATTAATAACAAGAGCTTAAAAGACTCCATAATCACGTCAAAATAAGTATGAGCGCCTAAAACTGCACTACATATTTAAAAACAAAAATATGTATTTGACTAATATTCCCTGCTTCTTAGCGTCGCTTATACGCTCAATCATCTTCATCATCATAGTTATCATCGTCATCATCATCACTATCCTGCAAAATGGGCACAGCGGTAATAGTCAGGTCTCTGCTGCCCAGACCGAAACCAAAGTGTCCCACATCAAGTAATGCGCTAACCGGCATGCCCTCAACTTCACCGTCACCTTCACCATAGACACCATCATAGTCCAATGTGTGCTCCTCATAGCGGGCTGGATCGTCACACTCCTCTTCGGTGCGTATCTCATAGAGACTCTCTTCGTTGTCACGTGACGCCGCATACAGCTCACAATGCTTACGCTTCGCATGACGCAACACATGATCTTTGCGACGCGATCGATACTCACACGAAATGCACTTGTACTTTTTCTTTTTCAGACAGTATTTGCGCACATGCTCCTGCAGCTTCTGATGCGACTTATAATAACGGTTGCAATGCTTGCACTGCATGAAGTTCTCACGCTGCAGCTGCGACGTCACGCCTCTGCTATTATTATTCAAATAACCGTATAAATCAGTCGCTGCCTGCTCCTGCCGGCGCGTCGTGAGGAAGGCGGAGGTGCCGGGCAACGAGGCGCCAGACGCGCTCACGCTCGTATCAACGCCCAGCAGACTGCCGAGTATAGGATACATGTCTGGCGTGGTGTTCACGTATGTTTGTATGTGGCGGGCAACGGAAAAAATATAAGGCAAAACAAATGAAAAAGAAATAAAAAAATATATTTTTAATAAAGAACATAACTGTAATTTAAATGAAATGTATATAAAATACTACAATAGTACAACAACACAAATATTAATTTCAACAATAAACAAACACTTAAAGGGTTAGGGAGATTCAAGGTGTGTTTATGGTAACAGAGGTTTTGAGGTTGTGTTTCATTAAATGTGTGTGTTTAAGTAAGGTTAAGTTGCAAAATAATGAAAATTTTGTAATACAAAAATTAACTTAAACATTAGAATGCAGTTTAATTACCCATAACTGTATGTATGTATGTGAGTCGCTTTGCTTTGACGTTTAAAAATGTACCAATTATTTATGAACGTTTGTACTGTTGATGATTATGTAACGGGCAAGTGATGAATGTGCTATATATGTATATACATATGATTTATGTATCTATGTCACGCATGACCTTTATATGGCTGTATGTATGCATGATGAGGCATTAAAAAATCATTTTGCTGTCGAAAATCTTCCAGTTTTTGTTGTATTTAATAGTTAAATGGCTAATGATGATGTTGATGAATACTTTGTTTATATGCTTGATGTCTATATATGCTTAAGCGTGTAAAAATTTTGTCTGCAAATAATCACGTGCACTTAAATAAAAATAAATAAATTGAAATAAAAATAAAATAATAACTTTTTCGCTTTAATTATATTTTTTTTCCTACAGAAACACTTGAGAAAAAAGAAACATAATGTATTCACGCGTGTTTTACAATTTTTTTTTTGGAATTTTAATACCTTTAAAAATCATTGAATTACGTATTAAATATTATTAATTATTTATTTAGTAATTTGAGTGTGGAATTAAATTAAAACTTTAGCAAATG